CTTCACAAGTATATGATTCAGAGAAAAGCAAGCAAACTCAAATTTTTCATGATGTATGGCTTTAACAGTGACTTGGTTATACATTTGTGACTATATAAAGGTTCTTAAGGTATTCAAACCCATTTTACCAGGTATTTTAAAGTTTTGTTCCATCTTCTAATTGCTTTTTTTTCCAAACTCCTGCTTCTGGACCAGGTGCACTTTCAGGGCAAAGAGTTAATTTTAGAACAAAGACCAGTTCTTATATGTACAGAAATTACAGTGGCACTGTTGCTGCCTTTAAATAGCGATAGGATGTACCGCGGTTTACAGGCTTCTTTGGAACTCTCGCAAGTCGTAATGAGTTTCAATGGGTAATGTGGAAGAGCAGCCACGGGGTGAGGTGCAGAACGGTGCGTTAGTCATTCTGAGTGGGACTCATACTTCTGGCAAGTGAGCAAAGCTGACACCTCCCTTCCCTTTGAGTTGGCACGAGGTGTCTCACTGCTCCTCAACAGAAACCAACAAAGGCCTCATAGACGCCAATAACTAAGAGACATCAAATGTTGGCTCGTCGTGTAGAGAGAATGTGTAAATATATCTTCAAATGTGTCCTCGTGTGTTGTTTTCTCCCAGTCTCTTTCTTTCTCTCTCCCCCTCTCTTCCCCCGTTGCGGGGGAGTTAGGTTGTTGTCATGAAGCGCTGTTCCTCTGTCGGCTGATCAATATGTTGCTGTTTTTTTTCTTTCAGAGGAGAAGACACAGCTGGTTCTAAATGTCGACAAACAGCTTGAAGAAGTCAGAGAGTTGGTATGTCTTTGATCAGTAATTTTCTCCTCTTCCCATTTCCTAAATAATGAATTTGTGCAAAGAGGGAGGGGACAATTTTCACTGGCACCAGACAACAGCACCTGTATTATCCTGGTGGTGACATGACATGCAGAGACACACACATGGCGGAAAGGAGGCTTCCTCCTCACACGATTACTTTCCAGTAATCTGCTTTTAAGTGACACCCCTATGACACATTTCAAGCCATTATCTTGAGGTGGGAGTCTTCATGCTTGCTGTTTAAAAATGAGCAAAGTCACCTGACAGAGACAAATTGTTGTTGCAGTTGTCTTGTTATGTCACAGTGATTAGTTTCCTCCAAATCCGCCACACAGAGACCTGTCTAGCCATGCATCAAATGTACTTTTACTTCATTCACTGTGACATTGTCGGGCCTGTGCATGTCGCTACAATGAAGGGACCCTCATATTTGATTGTGTATTTATTTGCAGAACAGCCTTCCTCTGTCACAGCTTTTATCACAGCTGAGTGAAGTGAGCGGAAGGCGTTTTCTTTTTACAATCAGCATTGGAACATATTAAAGTTAATGCAGCTGAAGTTACTCATTTCAGGAAGTTTAATGTTTTCAGAGCTGTCACAATTGCTGTCTTGAGCAGCAGAGATAATAACCTTTTATGAGACTTAGCAATACATCTTTTGCAGAAATGTGTAGATGGTAAGAGAAATATGATCATTAGAGGATAGGAAGGCCTAGATTTTTTTTTTAGCATCTGTTCAAGAGTGCTGTAGAAGTGATGAAGTACCTCAACATTGTGATTTCTATCCGAATAATCTCTAAATCTGTCAGTTTTGTAATGTTTTTTCATTTCATTTCATATTCAAAATAATTGTTATCGATGTGAAATTGATCTTAAAGTATTAGCTAGGAAGAATATTTGAAATGTTTTTTATATTAACTGGATTGTGGGTTTTAGCTGGAGCAGATGGATCTCGAGGTGCGGGAGATCCCCATCCAGAGCCGAGCCATGTACAACAGCAGACTGAAGAGCTACAAGCAGGAGGTGGAGAAGCTCGAGAAAGACTTTGTAAGTACCTAAACTCCTTCTCAAATCTTTGTTAATGGTTAATTAAATGATAAAATTAGAATGTACATAATCAACATTAAGCAAATGCTCTGGTGTGACTTTCAAAATCTGTATAGCAATATATGGTTAATATGACATACTGTAGTTGAAAGTTGTCCCCCTCTGAAATCCTTGGTTTATATGCACATCCATTGTTTGCCCCCTCAACCAAACTCTCTCTCTCTAACGCAGACTATCACACACACATATACACACACACACACACACACACACTCAGAGTCCAATGCTGAAGTTCAGTGGTGCATCCACCGAGGTTAATTCAGAGTTTGTATTTAAACTTGCGAAGTGATGCCTGTTGAGAGCAGGTTGTGTGTGTTTGTGTTGTTGCTGCAGAATCTGGCCTTGTTTAGTAATTCATAAATCACTGTATGTCTTGACTTGATCTCTAGCCTCTATCAAAGCTTAATGAACAACCCAGTCTTATGGGTCCCTTGCTTTTAGTCCATATTGTTGGCTACCAATATCGCTCAAGGTATTTCACTTAATCAATAATATGATAGAAATGAGCAATTACTTAATGTAATTCCATTGCTTGCTTGTTTTTTTTCCTTCGATTTTCCCATTACCCTAACTCGCAAAAGTATGTTTAATTCAATATTTGTATTCAAATCTTTACCGTGCAGAAATATGTATCTTTAATGATATCTTTATTTTGTTCGTCATTGTTTTCTGTTGTCAGTTTTGTTGTGCTGGTGCTCACAACACGATAATAAACCCGTAGTGTAAATGCAACTGACCTTGAGCTGGAGAGCAGACGAGTCCTTTCACAAATCAAATATGATGTGAAATAAATCCACAACCTCAGAATGGGTTGAGTAAATAAATACTGAATCAGATGTTTTAAAAATACTAAAATAAATTCACACAACTTTTAACCTTGTCGTTAATGTGGTTCCAGTGAAGTTTTGTTGTTCTTTTCTCGCACTTACCTCTGACAAACAAAAATAATCATTTTTAAAAACATTTGCTTAATATCTAATATAATTCACCATAAAATGCTGTTTTAAAATCTGTAATAAATCACATTAGAAAATATAACAACATCCCCCCCCAATCCATCACTATTCCAGATGCAGAACAAACAAGTAAACATGCATAAACAACCCATTTGAATGGAGATATCATGTGCTAGTGATCTGTGAGCACACCACAGAGATGTGCTAACTGAGATCACAGAGGAGATCTCTGTGCCAAGACAGTTTACTTTCCTCACCATGGGCATTTAATTGGATGCTGATTAATCTTTAACTTTTCTTCTCCCCACACTAACCGTGCTTAATCATCAAGCAGTTAACACCTGCTGGGGCTGGTATTGGTGTTAATTTTCATTATTTGCATTTTTAGGCCTGTCTTTGGGGCATTTGTGGGATTTTTTTTTTCTTTAACGTGGGAAAAAGTTGGCATTAATCCAACCACTTTCTAAAAATAAACCTCGCATGTACAGTACATAAAAAGAATATGATTAAATCTGAACTTCCATATCACTTCCAGCTTAAGTCGTATGTGTCCAAGCCCACAATACTGGAATGCAAAGCAGAAGGTAGCAGTACGGTAGTCCTAGTGGATAAAGAATATCGGCCTTCTTGTAACTGTGACTCTCCCAGTTTGATGGAGTCATTTTCATTTTTACACCTCTGCCTGTGTGGTATGGTCAGCTCAGTGTACATTTAAACTAGGATCACCCGCCTCACACAGTAACATCTAGTATATCTGGTCTCCTGTAAATCTGATGCAAGTGTTCAGAAGGCAAGAACTTCAGCCCCCTCAGATGTGCCTCAGATGTGCCAAATGCTATAGCCGAGCTCAGCCTCTCGCTTCCTGCAGGCCTAGGGAGGACATGACACAGGCGTCTAGTGGAAAAAAGGCAATCTCCTTTCTTTTTAATGTAAAAAGCTCCGGCTTTGTTGTGCTTTCTGTGGATATCAAGGCCTTTCCACTCCCTCACTACCCAGTCCTCCCCCCACCAACCCCACCCCCTACTGGCCTCCCACGGGTGTCTCCCCCCTTAACCTGCTCTCTCATCCTCCCATTCACCCGTGGTTTGAAGTCTTCCTACCACCGGTGTGCCAGCTTGAGACCTCATTCCTGCTCCTTTCCAGACAGGGCCCGAGTCGACCTTAGTAACCCAGCCATTTCATCCAGGAAGACAACTTATCAAACAGGCATCCCAAAGGTGTATATATGAGATGTAGCTTTGTTGGCTCGGCTGACAGCTTCATTGCGATAATAGAGGGGACAGTGGGGGTCTTAAAGGTGCTGGGTTGCGGCAAATGGGCATTGCGGCAGCTGAAGGGGATGCCAGCCTGACCAAAAAAAAAAAAAAGGAGTAAGTCAGGGTGTGAAATTTTTAGAAAAAAAGAACAATGAAAATCTTATTTGATGGAGCCGGCTTGTTCAAGTCAGGGGAAGCAGGGTGGCATGGCTCTTAGCAGCGGCTTTGATCAGGCAAAGAAGAGGCCTAACGTAAGCTTAATTTAATGAAATCTATCGGGTAAACAGAGCCACCATCTTCAAAGGGCCATGTTTGGTCCGTCCCAGTAGGTAAGGTGGGGGTCTGCAGACGTCTGCTGTGTCTTACACAAAACGCAATCCATTTTTGGAGGATGCGACTCAAATTATGTACCGTGCTAATTGTAAATGTGTGATGCCTCCGACATGAGCATGATGAGATGTCGTAAGCTGTCATAAAGCAACATCGGCTCGGAGATTGTGAGGTGATTTTTGTCAGTCCTGGAAAACTCATGGTGGTGTCTTCTGTGTTGTCAGTGCATATTTTTAATATCAAAACCCTTCCTTTCTTGCCCTTTTCAAAGCTGTTCCGTGTTGTATTGTTAGGTCTTTGCCTGAATATGTTAAGTAAATAGGAAATATTTTTAGTCGGAGGCAGATTTTAGTGAACCTACAGTTAATGATGTGTAAACATCATGATATCATTGGTAAAACAGAATTGAAACAGCAGGAATTGTTGGTCACAAACATAAAACTTCCATCTCTAAACCCACTGTTTGTACTCCACATCAGTTTCAAGCACTTAGTTCAGAGAATTCTGTCTTGCATACTTCCTAAAGTTAATCATTAAGTCTGCATCATATTCTTCTATACCTATGTTCAAATCTGTAGTGTTGTGTAGTGCCTCTTTATTGTGTCATAGATAATATAGAGCATGTTTAGATAGACTTTGAGGCATCAGTGTGCTGTGGTTGTTGATCTCCACTGGCAGCAGATGGCGGTATTGCTCTAAGAATTTTCTCCCACTTAAGGTATATGACAAGGACAATATTGGGCACATTTACCAATTACTTCGCCTTTCTGATGTATGAGTGGACTTACTATGATAAATCCTTCCACTTATTATTAAGCCTGACCTCATCCTTTATGCTTTGTAATAGAGATTAAAAATAATGTTAGCAAAATGTCCTTGTGGTAAAAGCCCATTTAATACAAAGTATCTTGTAGTAGCCTGGCTACTTTATGTATTTTCTGTAGTTCGTCTCTGCCCAGTGGTTCTCTTAAAGTAAATTAAGGTAGCCAAACTAAAAAAATGAATGAATTAGTGCCTCCTAAGGAAAGTTGGATGTCCTTTTGGAATGATATTGTAAACATTTCATTCAGCAACCCTCACATCTCCTTTCCCAATTAATCTCTCTGACATTAGGTACTGCTGTGAATATTTCCCCTCCTTAAGTTGTGTTTTAAGGAGGTGAGTTTAATTTTTATATATATAAGTGGGCTCGGGGTGGGGGGGTATTAGTATAGTACTATATTATACTATATTATATATATATATATATATATATATATATATATTCTGTCTTTTCAATAACAAAAACACTTCTGATACAAATGTGAGAGGCTTTGTGTTCAAGGTTCCTTGACTCTGATAAAGGTTAATTGATATCAAGCTTTGACAAGTTTTATTGTCGAAGGCTCCTCATTTTTCTGACATTAAGTGTGAATTGGTGCCAGTAATGGTCAAGGCAGTTTTGTTGATGGCATGAGACTCACTGGGTAATTCTTTGGTAGCAGGATTATTTTGTTAGATTAACACCAATTCAGAATAAAAAGCTGTTATGTCTCAATATGCTGTATACTATTCCATCAAGGACCAAAAAGATGTCATTCACTACCATGCATCAGTGTTTCTTTTGAAAAACGCATCATTAACCAGTCTTTATATGAGATTGTTAAATATGCTGTCACAGTACATAATATAAGTAATTACCAGAAGTAAAAAAAATGTGATACGGTCAAATGTTGATTCACCTGAAGTACAGTACTTAACTTCAAAAGAGGCCTATTCAGGAAAGTTTCAAATGATGATTTTCTTCTGTCAGTCCTAGTTTCATTTATTCCATTATGGATATTATGATAGTTGATCTTGCATGTTTTTTCTGATATTGAATCACGAGGCCAATTGTCACAGGGATACAACTAATACTTCCTAATTTCTAACTGTCTAATGGGTATTGTTTGGAATTATAGTCACGGTCAAGTACGATGCCTGGACTGCCTTTTCCTTTTTAATAAAACCTTTAGATGGAATACCTCCTAGTGTCCGCCCAGGGAGATAATTAATGCATTTCAACCAACCAACCTTGAAATATTGAACAGTTAATTTACCAGGTACATTGAGGTGAATGGAATGAAAAAGCTGATTCCACTTTTTATTTCTTGATTATTATTTTTTTTAATCTCTGTGTATCAATTTCATAAGTGGAATGACCTTCTAGAGATAGCTTGAAATGTAGCTTTCAGTTGGGGCAAGTGAGTGCTGTATTTAATGAATTGGCACATTGGACATTTTTCAAACCAACTTGTAATTGAGGAGAAATGGTTTGATTTGAATTACAAACAAAAGATCAGTTGAGGATAAAATTGGATTTGTATCAAATGTGAACACATCTCAGATGAGGCCAAGCCAAACTTCTGTAACTCATGAT